CATAAAGGACAAAGCACTTGGTTCATTAAAATGCCCCTCTCCCCAATTCTGTGTCTAATAACACCCAAATTGATGTGATTTCCCCTTCATATTTAAGTTTGTTTCTTGCCAATTCATGTGCATAATCATTTGAATATCGTCGATTGCATCCTTATTTCATTCCTATTTGATTAAGATGTGATTTTAGGGTGCTTTAGACAATACATGCGAATTATGTATGAAAAAAGACACAAGTTTAGCAAAAGGGGCAGAAAACTTATGATCACGGCTTGGAGATGGAGATCAAGGCTAAGAACACAGACTACAAACTCAAGGTGAAGATTGCAGCCTGAGAGCCCAAGATTGCGGCCGCGAATCTGGAGGATTTGGGCGCAAACTTCTTGAAGAAGCCATCCGAGGAGAAACAAAGAGTTTCCTTGGTCTAATCAAGGCCACAGTTCACACTGACCGCGATGAAGTTCACGGCCGCGAATCACGGATCGGAACCGTGACGTCAGCCCACGAACCCTCACGTTTGAAGGCCAAAACAGCAACGTCGGCTGATCGCGACATCTATGAAGACGATCGCGATCTTTACCCTGCCTGGCCGTGAACTTGTCCGTCCTCTAAAGGCTATAAATAGAAGAACCACTTCTCCCATTTGAGAGAGCTGATTTTGAGATAAAAATTTATCGTTAGAGATAGAGAAGAGAGAGAAGTTGAATGAAGGAGAAGATGAGAAGAAGGAGAGGGAGCTAGAAGAAAGGAGTCATCTTCCTCAACATCTAGTCTTCCCCAATTTCTTCTATGTATCTTCTTCCCTCCTTTATGGAGTAGTCCTCTAAGGTACTAGGGGTTCTAAACATCAAAGCCTAGTTTTAGGGTTACTATGTAATGGATGGGTATTTTAGGGTTTTGATGAATGAATGTGTTTATCTAGTTGATTTTAATGCTTCTCTAGCTTTGATTGTGTTTGGGTAAGTCGCCCTAATCTTCTTTACTAGCATACTTGAGCTTCTAGGTTGGGTATTGAGTTTTAGGGTTAGACAGGTATGCACCATCTAGCAAATTAGGCTAGATGAATGAATAGGATCTTATGGTGGACGAGGCGATCGTACCCCTACCATAGGAATGCCTTCCAAGATAGAACATGGGATAAAATCTCTGTGTGGACGGAGGGTAGTACCCATTGAAATGAACTATGTTCTTAATTCCCCCAGATACGATAGCCTAGATCAAGGTGACTGCCATATGTTTAGGGGACGCATACTCGGAGGCGTGTGGATAACCATGACAGCCCACAGAAAAGAGCTCACTCACCACATTCGACAAACCCTACTTATTTAGACATTGCATAGTAAACCTAGGCTAGGGTGAGGGATAGTTCACCGAAGTACCTTCTTTTATCTTTATTTACTCTCTTTACTAGTTATTTCACTGTCCTCAAACACAAACCCTTAAACCGATAAGCTAGATAACAATAATGTGGGAAGTAGGCTAAGGTACCGGTACCCGAGTGAATACGACCTTGATTGCCATTATATGACAACACCATCTTAGGTTAAACCTGGCCTAGGATGGGGTAGTTATTGATACATGCTAACCACTGACAGTAGTCTGCATGGAATGAATCGATCATGCTTTTTGGCACCGTTTCTGGGGAACCTCGGTAACTAGTAGAAAACCATCGAGTTGCCAGTTTACCTCTATTTCCTTTGTTTTGTTTGTGTTTTTTTTCGTAGTTTATTTCTTTTTGTGTTTTATTATCTAAGAAGAGTTGCAAGACATCAATCTCCACCAATGGATGATCATCAAGCTCAAGTTCCACCAAGGCCTAGAAAAATGGGATCCTACTCAAGGCCGAGTGTGGATAATGTTCAATCACCTATTCTTCATCCACCGATACCGAACAACAACTATGAGATATAGCCGGGCACAATTTCGATGCTTCAAAGTGTGGTTCAATTCAATGGGATGATGAGTGAAGACGATCACACACATATCTTGTCGTTCTACGAGTTGATAGATGGAATCATGGTAAACGGGGTTCCACAAGAGGTAGTTCATCTAAGGTTATTTCCGTTTACTTTGAATGGAGCGGCAAAGCAATGGTTGAATAACCATCATCATCACTCCATCACCTCGTGGGATGATTTATGCAACAAGTTTTTCGCAAGGTATATTCCACCTTCTAATATGACTTTAATGAGAAGCGAGATTACTATGTTCCGACAAGAGGAGGATGAGCTGTTGTTTGAAGCTTGAGAAATTTTTACGTCTCTCCTACTCAAATGTCCACACAATGGCATTGCCGATTGGTTACAAGTGGAAATATTTTATAATGGTTTAACACGGGAGTCACGCCACCTGATCGATGCGGCTAGTGGAGGTGCCTCTAGGAACAAAGAAGTCGGTGAACTTCAAAGATTGATTGAAGAAATGGCCCTAAATAGCTATGAATGGGGAGACGGAAGGAGAGGCAAGAGTGGGAAGAAAGGAAGTTTAATGAAGGTCGAAGAACCATCGTCGTTAGCGGCTCATATAAAAGAACTTTCCAAGAAAATTAATCAATTTGCGTCATTAATAAAAGGCAATGGGAAGCCACTCATGAAATGTGATTGGTGTGGTGACTCGAGTCACACTATGGAGGAGTGTAAGTCTATGATTGAGGCGTCGATACAGTTTGAGCAAGCCAACTTTGTTGAGGGGAAATCCCGAGGAAACAACCCTTATAGCTCTACATACAATTCGAGTTGGAGGAACCATCCCAACTTCCTTTGGTCTTCTCCAATGGATAAAAAGCCTACAGGATTTCAATCTCAATCTCCTTTTCAAAATACTTATCCAAGGATTAGTCAACCCTCATACCAAGGGGCGTATCAAGAACAAAGTCGACCATCCAATGGCCGAGTCTCTAAACTTGAAGGCTTGGTAGGTCAATTCTTTACACACTCCAACATGAAGTTTGAGGCTATAGACAAGTTAATAGAGAATACTACAACCAAAATCTATCATCAAGACCACAAGGAACTTTGCTGGGAAATAACGAACCTAATCCTAGGAGGGATGTCATGCGGTAACTCTATGAGTGACCGAACTTTGAAGGAGGTTCCTATCTCAACACCGAGGATACCGAGAAGAGAAGCTAAACGTGAGGTTGTTCAATAAGAAGAGTTAGTTCGGGAAGAAGTGCAACCTCCTATTGCAATCAAAATTGAATAGGAGGAGAACTCAAAGATAGCTCAAGCACCCGATCCAACACCAAAAGCTCTTTATCCTAGACGTTTGTTCAAAAGTTATCTATATCATGAATGTGCTCCATGGAATGACACCTTGAAGAAATTGAAGGTAACGACCCCTTTCTTAGACATGGTGATGAAGATTCCGAAATATACTAAATTCTTGAAATACATTTTGTCGTGAAATAGGAAAATGAAAGAAGTTGTCAGGGTACCTATTAGTGAAGTTGCTTTGGCATCCATCGGATGTGAAGGCTTCCCTCCAAAATTAAGAGATTTGGGGATCTTCATTATTCCATGCACCTCCGGAGTCAAAACCTTTTGGAATCCGCTAGCAGATTTGGGGTCTAGTATCAACATTATGCCTACAAGAATATACAATGAGTTAGACATTGGACCACTCATACCTACTAAGATGCGGATTGAGTTTTCCAATAGGTCCATTTTCGAGCCAAGAGGAGTAATAGAGAACGTCTTGGTGAAGTGTGCCCATTTTGTTTATCTTGTAGACTTCGTAGTTCTCGACATGGAAGGGTGTTATGCATCGATAATCCTAGGCCGACCATTCTGGGCTACGACAAGGACCATTATCAATGTGAGTGGGAGCAAGATCACTTTAAGGTTTGGAGAGGAGGAGATAAGCTACAAGATGACTCCATCCCCAATTTTCACAAGTATTACAAATGGGACGATGTTAAAGATGGATTGTGATCCGGTCACACCTCCTACCACACCGCCTTCAAGCCCTGAGATAGAATGGTTCAACGTGGTCTCTCGTCAATATAAGGTACACTTATGTATTTCCCCATATCTTAACTACTTTATTTTGCTCAACATGTGTTGAATGCTTTGAGACCTTGAAACCATGGATTACAAAACCGTACCGGACATCAAACCGTAATCGTCTTTGGCATGGTAAATCGTGGTACAACCATGGTTCAACCGTTCCTATCGGTAAATACAGTTTTTGGAATAAAAATTATTTTTTTGTTAAAAAACCGTACCGGCAAAATTAGGGTACCATACCGGGAAAATACCGGATTATACCGCCTAAGAAACTGTAAAAAAGTAAATAAGCTTAGGTAACATTCAACAAAGTGTTCCAATGTGAAAATAGACGTTCACGGTAAACTTGAACAAGCCAAAAATTCAATTGATATTTTTTCTAAATTTAATTCTCTACACTAAACTATGAAACCAACATACAAATATATAGAAATATCTCAAAATTGACCGCCACCCTTTACCAATCCTAAGCAACTAAAACCTTTATTACTAGCTACTTCCATTATTCTAAATCTACTAACCCCAAAAGCCAAAATCCCCCTCCCATCAAAAATTAAAAATCCAATAATCCCCCTAACTGCCGAATACTTTCTAATAATAATTATAATAATATTAAAAAACAACAAAATCCCCCTTAATCCTCTCACGGCAATATCACTCCCCATACCCATCTTATAATAATAATAATAATAATAATAATAATAATAATAATAATAATAATAATCAATCTCATTTATCTCCACATTCCCCAAATCCTCCAAACTCTCTTTCTGCATCGGCTTCCCCAACAATAGCCATTATCGCGTCTTTTCTCCACTTGATAGAGCGGCAGCAGAGAAAAGCAGGGAGACGAGAAGGCGAGACCGGAGATCCGTGAGAAAGAGTCCACTGTCGAGCTTATGGCCGTTACAAAGTACACAGGGAGGAAATCACCACCTACCCGCCTTCTCCGTTCTTCCGCCGCCACCACTTCTCTCGACAGATGAAGAGGATTCATGCCGGCGGGTTTATTAAAACCGGCCGGTTGGAAGCGAAATACCGGTTGCACAGTCAATATCGGCCGGCACGTGAAAAGCCGCTGGATTCAGACACCGTTCCGGATCAGACGCGATATCCGGCTTTTCCGATCCTACCGTCCGGTACGGCACGGTTTAGTAATCCCTGCTTGAAACGCTCATCTTCATCTCTGCATGACTTTTTGATGTCACAAGATTGTTTTCATTTCTTCAATGTTCTTGCTATGCATTTTGGGAGTCCTTGGTGGGCTATTTTCATGCATCTCTTGAGTTTACAAAGACTGCCTACCAAGTGTTCATAGAAAGTCCCCAACTACATAGTTTTCATTTTCTTCAGTCCTACTCATTAGGCATCAACCTCCATGCACTTTTTAACTCTGGTTTACTTAATTGTGTGTTGTTTGGGGAAATCCTAGCACTATTCCTTGTCATTGAACACCATCTTCATCTAAGTCCTATCTTTTGCGCAAGCTTTAGTATCATTTTAGTGTGGGGGGGGGGGGACATAGAGAATTGATGAAAGTTCTTTGACAATTGTTTTCATGGTATGTGATGTTTGGATTGATGGTTTGTGCATTATGTACTTTTTGTTTTGAAGTATAATTTACAAGACTAAAGGAATGGCTCGTGGAGGGAGTTCTTCTAATATGGAGCGCTCTCGAACTTCTCATCCTTGCCAAGGTCATCAGAAGAAGAAAAGCAAATCTGTGTCAAAGGAAGTATTTGTTGAAGAACCACATCCACCATCACTCTCTCCCCACCTATCAAGATAAATTCATCAATATAATGAAACCAATGTTTGAGGCGGCATAGAGCACATCACTCACTATTATTTGGACAATGCCCCCGAACAATTCAAGACCAAACTTTTGTGGCTTCAAGGACTTCCTCTAGGCGAGAGTACATGCATCAACTAGATACTCTTCGTACAGCTTAGGATCGAGGATTCAATCCGTTCCAAGATTCAAAAGTTGGAGTGGCTTAAATTGTTATCAATTCAAGAAAACTTCTACCAGGTATTTGTTCAGGAGTTCATTAGTACACTTAGAATGCGAGATATGAGAGATGTCGCCGACCTTGAAGACAACATCCAATTCAAACTAGGAGGAGAACATCGCGAACTGTCGATCCGAGAATTTACAACAGCCATGTATATGCACCCGACGTATTTCTTTGACTCACTGGATGCTCTTACCACTTTGACAAGGGAATCTGACTTCCCATGTTTCAAGTCCTTCTATGAATCCGAGGTCAAGAAATTCAATAGTCAATCATGGGATGTGAAGCTATCGAAGGCTAGTGAGGTGAAACTAGAGTTGCACTGCTCATCCACCATGTGATTGCTAGGTTCATGGGTGGAAAGAACTAAAACAAAGGCAAAGGAGGGAGAAAAAAGTGCGACTCCAAATCATGGCATGCATCCATGCTATAATGAAGAAATGGATATTCAGATTGAAAATGTATCACCCCTATCGCAACCGTCCCTTCGGGGGGTCCGATGTAGTCGCATCGGCATTTTTGGGAGTCGCCATCGATCTTACTTGGAGTGGATCGAACACTCTTTGAATCGGCACTAACCTTAGGGTCGGAACCAAGATATGGTCTGCGGTTAAGAGATATGTGTTCGGGAGTACGGTTACGTGTGGGGAAGTGAAATCACACCCCACAACGCCCTAAATCGGTACTACTTAAGTCGATAAGTTTTTATACGAGTTGAGTGTATTTTAGTAATATTTTAGTAATTTTAGGTCCCACTGGACCATTTAATGATTTTATCATATTAATTGTACTTTAATTATACGCCACTGACGTAAAAAATTAAAAGATAAAGTTAATTGGTTAATTGGACTCGAACCTTATCGGTTACCTACGTACCCGTTAGACGGGATCAAAGTCCACGTAGTTCGTTGTAACTTTGATAGTTTAATTGTATGACTTTTACCATGTTTCACTGAACGTAAGTCTCGTATTATAACTTTGTTAGTAAAATTTAAATTGACTATTACAGGGATTTTAGTCATTGAGAAGTATTTTGATGTACTAGAAAAGAGGCAAGATAAACTTAATCTGCAATTTAACATTTCGTATTAAGAACTTAAAACTAATGAAACTAAGCAGGATGATTATTTTAATGCATGATGGGCCAGCAGTCCAAGTGGCTGAGTCCCTAATCAGGGCGCGTTCGCCCGTGAGGAAGTGGGTTCGAAACCCCCTAGCAATATTTATTTTTGGTTTCTCATTTTGTTTCAGAGACGGGGGAGGGTAGATTTGTAATTACTCAAAAACGCGGTGGCAGGATTATGTAATTAAACCGAAACCCTAGGGGTAAGTTGGTCTTTTTCGACTAGGTATAAATTCATCCTAGAGGAGCCCTAATCAAACTCCTAACCCTAAACGACCCCCATGGCCGCCGCTCTCTCCCCCTCTCCCTTGATCTCGATCCTTCTCCATCTATCTCGCCTCTTTTCCATTCCAGAGAAAACGAAATAAACCCTAGCACACTAAGAAAACGCCGCTCACTCGCCTCTCTCTTCTCTCTCGTTCCTGCCGTCTCTCTAAACCGCAAAAATCTAAACCCTAGCCGCCTTCATCCTCTTCCTCTCTTCGCCTTTCTTTTCTGCTTTCTCTGAGACGAATAGGGAGGCAAAGGAAAACCGAAATCGGATCCGCTCAAACCAAAAGACCCCTGACAGCCGCCTCCTCCCTTTTCAATTAGGCAGGGGTACGACTCTAGTCTCCCTAAATCGATCATAGGTCAACGATCTAGGTAAGATCCTCAACATGCATCTTTATTTTTTTTTTTGGTTCGATCATGTATTTTTGGGTTTTAGAGTTTTGATTCCTATTTTCTTGTTTCTCCCCGGAAATCGGCTTGAAATCAAAGTGGAACTATCGAATCTCCTTCTACTATTTTCGATCTACCCTTTCAAGTTGGAATGGAGGCGACGACGAGGGGACCTTGCCCTCTAGTAAGATTTTTCTACATGCATCTCCATTTTCGTTCGATTTAATGCATTCGATCGAGATTTAACCTGTTTCGTTTTTGTTTTGTTTTTGTTTTGGATCTCCGCCGAGAGAAGGAAGGGAGAGGCGGTGGTCGCCGGCGCGGAAACAACTGCCACCAGCCAGAGGAAACACCAGAATCTCTCGAACCCTCCCCTTTGCAGTGACTAAACGAAGAGATTTAGGTGATATCCCCTGTACAACTGGAGATTTATGTCTGTTTTCTCTTTAGTCGATTGGGTCCTAACTAGTTAGGAGTCGATTTCTTAATCTGCTAGTGAATTGTTTTTATTGTAATACTTGGTAAATCGTTTGTTTTGTTGATTTTTGCTGTGGATTTTGAAATATGAAATTATCGTGTTGTAGAGTTTTAGTTCAAAACCTTTTAACGTAGCCGAAAATCACAGCCACTGCTTGTGATTTCGGACTGAGAAAGAAAATTATGTTTTATGTTTGGGATAGGAGTTTAAGAATATAGTATCCACAATGGTTTGGAAAGAACGATTAAGAACAATAACCTAAGTCACAGCCACTGCTATGACTAAATCAGAACTTTGGATCTTAATTGATTTTGCCATTAACTGGTTTCTTATGCTATGATTTTGTTTTGTGGGTCGATTGTGAGGTTGAAGGTTTTTTTCTATTTAACTGGCTTTTATGTTGATTAGGGATTCACGAAAATTTCAATCTCTGCTGGATAGAACAAGCTGGGCCACCAGATCTTACTAGTGCCAACAAAGAATGAAGTTTGCAGATTCTGCTTTTTGTGTATAATGTATAATAATGTAGTAAATTTTCTTTTGAACCAACCCATGTGTTATTAATCATCATTTATGCTTTTTATAAAATCGTTCTTGTATGTTTAGACAAACATTTGATAATAAAGCTTGGTTCTTTTAATCAAGTGCCAAATTACAAATCTCAAACCTTCTGATACCTCTTGGCCGCTATAGTGCTCTATTCGCAACTATACACAATTGGAGGCCAACAATTTAGGTAGTTTGTGTTTTCCATTGCAAACAATTAGTTTGATAATACTCATTGGTTTGTTCGTTCATATTGACTTGCTACTGCTAGTCTCAACCAATTCTATCCAACCTTCAAATTCTCCTTTCATTTTTTAAGTAAGATATCATTTTGAGTTTTAAGTAGAGTGGTTGCTCCGGACAAAATGTGGTGTCTACAACCCCAACTTGCTCGCTCCCATCCCCTTGCACCATTTCCAGAAGAAGAAAAAGAAGGACCCTAGGCATCTAGGGCCTATGTTCTACCATTTCTTTTTCCTTACTCTTCTTTTTTTACTTAAGACAATGTTTAATTATTATTTTCTTTTCATTTTAGTTTTCGTACTTTCAATATTCTTGTACTAGTAGTAATCATACTTATATTATATACTTATCGTTACCTATAACTCTTAATCGTCTTCCTCTCTTTTTCTTATGCTCTTTATCATTGTGAAAATCACTAGGAAGACAAAGACCTGCACTTGTGTACCTTCACCAACCACAACCCAACATATGGTAACCTTCATGATCTTCTCTTTTGAATCTCCCACATTGAGGACAATGTGTTGCTCAAGTGTGGGGATGTGTGTGAATGCTTGAAGATTATCATGATTGATTGAACAATGAATTGCTAGTATCTTCCCTTGTTTATGAATGTAAGACGTTGATGAATTCTTATGGGAGTGTATTCCAGCAATGTGAGTGTGTTTGTGGTGTTGAATGATCAAATAATGGTGTTTTGGAACCTTAACTGCATTACCCAAAAAAATTCAAATTTGAGGGTTCCAAAACTCCTTGTTCCTTGCAACTTCCTACTCGATATGCTTTTAATTGATATGTTGTGCTCGCTAGAGGATAGTTGCATGATTAGAGTACCGGTGTATCAGGGGTTTTACTATCTTCTTCCTCTTTGGTGGGTTGATAATGTTTGCTATTTTCGGAAGATCATGTGTGTGGGATACTCTATCATTCTTTAAATAAAAAATTTAAACAAAGATGCTCTCACGTGAGAGGCAACCGATCCTCGTGGCTTGGAGTAGCCCTTTGAGGATATGTTTGGGGATCAGATAGATTTACCGCGTCCCGACCATCTTTTACTACTTGCCATCCCCCAAAGTTTGGTGCAATGCGTGTCAACCTTGAAGAAGACCAATAAACGACAACTCCTAAGTCCTAATCGAAAGAAAGAATAAAGAGAACCTTCTATAGTTCATGTGCTTAATGGTTGATTGAGAAGTCCCCTGGTGCACACCGTGAATGTTTCTCCTAAGGTAGTAAGTATGGTCCTCACCGAAGAGTTTGTGCATGCACAGTAGGATGATAGTAACGTTCATTCATCTAGGTCTACTCTTCTTTATGCAATGAAAAACTAGAGTGCATCCCACCATGAATTATTTATCAAGTTGCATTGGCTAGAGTAGGTTTGCTTGGGGACAAGCAAACGCCTGAGTGTAGGGGAGTTTGATAACACCTAAATTGGTTTGATTTTCCCTTCATATTTAGGTTTGTTTCGTACCAATTCATGTGCATAATCGTTTAAATACCGGCGATTCCACCCCTATTTCATTCCTATTTGATTGTGATGTGATTTTAGCGTGCTGTAGACAATACATGCGAATTAGGTATGAAAAAGGACAAAAGTGTAGCAAAAGGGACAGAAGACTGATGATAACAGCCTGAAGATGGAGATCACGTCCAAGAACACATATTGCAAACTTAAGGTAAAGATCGTGGCCTGAGAGCCCAAGATCGCGGCCGCGAATCTGGAGGCTTTGGTCGCGAACTTCGTGAAGAATCTAGCCGAGGAGAAACAAAGAGTTTCCCTAGTCCGATCACAACCACAGTTCACACTGACCGCGGGAAGTTCGTAGCCACAACTCACAGATTACGACCGCGAAGTTAGCCCCTTGCATTTGAAGGCTAACACGGTGTCGTCGACAAATCGCGGCCTCTATGAAGAAGATCGCGACTGCGATCTTTACCCTGCCTGGCCGCGAACTTGTTGGTCCTCTGAAGGTTATAAATAGAAGACCCCCTTCTCCTATTTGAGAGAGATGATTTTGAGATAGAAATTTGTGGTTAGAGAGAGAAGAGACAGAATCTGAAGGAATGAGAATAGGAGGAGGAGGAGGAGGAGCTAGAAGAGAGGAGCCATCTTACTCAACATATCAAGTCTTCCCCAATTTCTTCTATGTATCTTCTTTCCTCCTTTATGGAGTAGTCCACTAAGGTATTAGGGGAAATGAATGAATGTGTTTATCTAGTTAATTTTAATGCTTCTCTAGCTTCGATTGTGTTTGGGTAAGTCGCCCAAATCTTCTCTACTAGCCTACTTGAGCTTCTACGCTGGGTATGGAGTTTTAGGGCTAGACGGGTATGCACCATCAAACAAATTAGGCTAGATGAATGAATAGGATCTTGTGGTCGATGAGGCGACCGTACCTTTGCCATAGGAATGTCTTCCTAGATAAAACCCAAGATAAAACCTCGGTGTGGATGGTGGGCAGTACCCATTGAAATGAGCTATGTTCTTAATTCCCCAGATACGATAGCCTAGATTGAGGTGACTTACATGGGTTTAGGGGAGGCCTACTAGGAGGCGTGTGGATAACCACGAAAGCCCACGACAAATAGCTCACTCACCACATTCGACAAACCCTACTTATCTAGACATTGCATATTAAACCTAGACTAGGGTGAGGGATAGTTCCCCTAAGTACCTGCTTTTATCTTTATTAACTCTCTTTACTAGTTATTTCGCTTGAATCTTCCAACACAAACCCTTAAACCGATCGGCTAGATAACAACAATGTGGGAAGTAGGCTAGAGTACCGGGACCCGAGTGAATACGATCTTGATTGCCACTATATGACAAAACCATCTTATGTTAAAGTTGAACTAGGATGGGGTAGTAATTGATACGTGCTAACCACAGGCAATAATATGCACGAAATGAATCAATCAATGTCTCGCCAAGGAAAGAAATAGGATGGGCATGTTGGCCCATTGTTACGTCACCCAAGGTGAAGGAATTAATTCTTTCTGATCCGAAAATGAAAAAAACCCCAGTTATCGTCACTTAGGTTGCTGATCTATTTTGTTTTGCTTCTTCTCCAATTTGCATGTGCATCCATAATCTCTTATTTTTTCACCTAATCATACCAAAATTATAGCACATGGTGGTAATGGTCTCATAACCATTCCATAATCAGTTGGCCCTAAAACAAGCGTTATATGTCTCAACCATATCATCAAATATTCACTGTAAGCACACAAAATCAAAATGTTTTTGCCAATTATCAATATACTTGGCTTTGTCAATGTTAGTAATTAGCGAGCATCATTTTATCACTCGATCTCACACCACATGATAGTGCGAGTCAATATATTAAAGTTGTGAATGGGTCAGTGGTTGATTAGCTCATCTTTATGATTAAGTACTCCTTTGCAATCTATTTGACTTTAACCGAATAATAGTTTAAATAATTTAACTTTCATAATTAAGGTATTCAACTTCTAATTCTTATGGACACCTTTGGTTCTAAAATTAATTATTTTTAATTTTTTCAAAATAATTATTGATGGAAATTGATTTTTATTTATGAAGATATTGGAAAAAGCTACATATTGAAATGCATGGTTAATTTTATATTCTCTGATTGTTGACAAATCTTATAAAGATGGATGAAGTGACTTTTATTAGTTTAGTTATTCTCCAAAGGATTGGTGCCATAATGCTAAATGTACATGTTTAGTTTGTACTATAAAAAATTTGTACAAAAAAGTATATATACAAACTGAATTAGTATCATAAGATTAAATACAGAAGTTCAATTTGTGTCATAAAGGACTTTCTATAAAATATATAAGTACAAACTGAACTTGTTCCATAAAATTATTTATATAAGTTCAGTTTATACCATACAATGTGTTTTAAACGAAAATACCAATACTATTGAGCATTATAAAATTCCTCATTCTAAAAAATAAGTTTTCTAAATTAAAAGTCTAATGACTCATTTACTAGTGACCCCAAAGAATAACTTGAATGGTAAATGTCGTCCTAAAACTAATACGTAAATGACTGTATTACCCTTTATAATTTGAAATCAAAAGAAAAAACCAAACACATCCCAACTAAGTTATACAAAAAACAAATCGTGTCTTTTCCCCCTCGGCCTTTCCCTCCTGCTACCCAAAACCTTCCTCCCCCGAACTTCACACTCACAACATCCCTCTCACTCTAAACTTACCGTAATATCCACCAATCATTCAATTTTATGGCTTTCACCTATGTTCCCCTTATGTGAATTGACGAGATTGCAGATTCTCTGGTTTGGCTTCCGCAAGCACAAGCCGAGCGACAATGACGGCTGCGGAAACAGTCAAGATCTCAGATGGTGAAGATATCTTGCCTAATCACCAAAGTCGTACTCACTTCTCCATCATCTTAGCATTCGAGCGTCAGAGGATTGCAGATTTGCAAACGGGGATGATGCTCTGTTTCCTATAGGAGTGGCGGCGAGCACGCTAGCATTCTCGCATTTCCGACTATCGATCATCAATTTTTCATGGCCAGATGGGAGGACAAGGAGAATTCGCCTACAAAGAAGAAGGCGGTTGCCGGAAAACCTCGCTGCCTGCCCGACTTAGCTCCTCTCCAACTTGGGCAACCATGCCCATGCTATGCCTGCAGAAAAAGTAATACATCCCCGCCGCCTCTTTGCCCCGACCATGCTCTTCCTCCTTCTATATGAACGCAGAAGAGATGAACGAAATAATATTTCATTTATGCTAGGGCCAAACAGAAGGTTTGACTTCGATTGACCGTGAGCTTAAAAGGAATATCATTTTCTTCAAGGTCGACGGTCAACCAAAGTCAAACCTTCGGTTTGGCCCTGGTCCAAACAATAGTTTTGTTTCATTCGACCATTGGTCAATTATTTTTAATCCAAATTAAATTAAATTTATTTGAATACATAGAAGAATAGTTTTTCTAACGGCGTGTTTGTTTGAATAAAATTAAGAAAGGAAGACAAAAGGGTAGAGGTGTAACTTTAATGTATTTTAGGGAGATAATTAGTAATTATTAGGATGAAGTTTAGTAACGGACTTCAGCATAATTGATCCATGAACAAGTGAACAGAATAGCGTTGTGTGTTGTTGTTGGTTGTTGTGTTGGAACACTTATGAGGACTAATCTGCACCAATAATAGAGTGCAATGTAGCGCCCCAATTTGAGATTCCCAACAGAATACTTGATGTCATGTCTCATCACATAGATAGATATTTACAAGTTTGTCAAACCAATTTTATCGTTATACCGATTTGCCAAGTGGTATAATTTGATCAATATTATAACTAGTTTATGTCGGCTCATGCCGGGTTTAGTAAAACGTGTAAGTGGAAAATTATTCATATTAAATAAATTTAGACACAGATATATATAACATATTTGAAGACAATTTCTCTAGAATCTACATTCATATTTAAATAAAATACAACATTGCACATTAAATGAAAAATTATCATATTTAAATACAACATTTAACGCAAACATCCAAAATTTTATACTTGGATCCAGTAAATAACATAAACATCTAAACATTCAAACTTGATTGCGACAAATAACATCAATATTTAAATTTCAAATTCATTCTTGAAAAAATTCAAATTCAAGAAAAAATAATAAATAATTTTGTTTAAAGATTGGAAATCAACCATGCCAATTGTACTATAACCCAACCAATTTATAATCGTTACTAGTTGAACCTGCTTGTACAGGTGGACACTACAACCATGGATATTTACAAGAAATGAAGCACATGACTGACTACACTATTCAAAACAACTTTGGCAAAAACAAAAAGACTATTCAAAATAAAAAACATTTATTAATTCTATTAAGTTGATTTTTTTTTTGGAAAGGAAAGCAAATACTCTTTTCCTCTTCGCTCTTAAATTTCTCTGTCCTTCTCCCTTTCCTCTTTGTGTTTTCTGGATACATTGATTGTCTCTCTGTGAGCTTCCTAGTCTTCGATCATCTTGACCTAAAATCCCCAAATTGCTTAACCCCGCCCCGCCTCATCTCGCCCTGTTAATTATTTTTTCTTATCATCGGTGGTTGCTTCTTAAATCCTAATATAATTTATTTTTCATAATTTTCCCTATTATATTATTCCTTCCGAAAGGGAAACACTTCTTTAACAATTCCATTGTTTTTCTCGTCGTGGAATTATTGCTCCCTCCTCCCCACATTTTGTCCCTTTTCTCCCGTCCTGTTAGTTCTTCTAATCGCCTTCGTGCTACATTGGAGAAATATAAAATCGGAAAAGGGGGTTTTCTTCTATTGGGGTTTCTTCTCTGTTAGAGTTGGGGTTGGGGTGGTTGTGATGTATGTTTGATGATTATGGGTTGTCAAATCTCAGATGAATTGCTGGGTACATTTCTGCCAATTGTGGTTTATTGGGGTTATTCAGGGATATATTGCCTCTTGGAGTGGCTCAAGGGTTATAGGTTGCACACAAAGCAGGATGAGGACGAGAAGAATTTGGTCTCCAAATGGACTGTCATCAAAGGCGTTCTCTGCCAACAAGTTGTTCAAGCTCTTGTTGCCACCCTCTTGTTTGCGGTAAGTTTGCATTTCCTATTTACGAATCAATGATGGGTTGTTTTCTTTTACGAGCTTTTGAACTGCGGCTAGTGAAGGAAGTTTCTTGATTCCCACCAGCGGAGCTGTTACTACAATGGGAAATTTTTCGGTATGATTTAGCTTTACTGAAACATAATTACTTTACTGATTGGATCCAGTATTAGCCTTTCTCAAAACCCCGCACATACCTTGTATGCAGTTGAAATACTAAATGTGTTTGCGGTTTTCATTCTGGATATTTAAGATGAGTGTTGATTGGAAACTGGTTCTACAGTCTGTAATATTGTTTTGAGTGTGCAAAAAAAAGTCTGCATACGTGCTTTGAACTTTCTTGCTGCTGCTGGTAGTAAGTAACATATAATAGTTGGGGGTTCTTCCTACTTCAGTTGCCAGAATTTCTCCAGGAACTAGACAGCCCAATGATGGAGAGGATGGATTAACATAGACTTCCCTAAGCAAGGAGTTATGGTGGAGCTATGTAATGTTCTGCTGAAACAAGGATTATGTTTTGGTTTCGGCCTATGGGTTTAGGGTTAGTTTGAGGAAAATTTAGCATTGATGAATAATGAATCCATATGCTTTGAGTTGTGGTGGACATAATTAATCCATGTGGAGTATTAAGATTGGCTTGTGATAAAGGAAATATTCACTGATAATGGATCTCATAACTTTGCCAATCATAACGAGAAAGCGACTGAAAGCTGTGTTAATATATATTCTTTGGAAGTTGTTTCTCCTTCAGAATCAAAACAAAAAGGAAGAGTTGTGTTGTATGAACATCCTTTTCTCTACCTTTCAATATATTTCATTCTTTTGTCACAATGTTGAATCACTTTTCATTATCTTCTCATTTTATCATATTAACATGTCCCTTTGCTTCTTGTTGGGGTGACGACCGGGGGGGGGGGGTTGTGGTTTCCATTTGTCCTCCAGTCTCTACTTGAGGCGAGAGGTCAACTGACTCGCTATGGCACAACTCCTAACAATGGCCAAGTGTAACCAATGAAAGGGACTGCAGTATAGTGGCTCAAGTAATAAATATCGAATCCACGGGTCTCTAGAGTTACTATTACTCAGCTTCAGTTCATTATCTAGCAAAACAGATTAAGATGAAAGAACTAAAATTACTCTAGCAAACTACAGTTAAAGTTAATCTAATTACAGGTTGGGAACTCACTTAGGTATGATTCCCCCTAGCCACTAGCCAGATTAATGATTGATGATCTCTTACCTGCTTCACTTTCATTCACAATGCGGAGAATCCTTAACTAGACCTTGAGTCTCGATTAAAGGAACAAGGCCCTCTTGAGTCAATTGCCTAGAGGGACGTATCCTTCTCTAGAACAACTGATCAAGGCGTTCTGAACTAGATTCCCTCTATCGAATGAGGTTCTCAATCGATACAAAGCAGTGAATCAACCCTCGACTAAAGCAATCGATCCACTACTATCAATCTATGGTGCTCTATTGACCTAATCAGGTATTCGCTCTCATAGGATCAAAGCAGAATCAATAATCCCGACTAAAGCAGAATTGAATCATGAAAACATGCATAGATTGAATATGAACTCAAGATTATCAAGTCAGAGTACTCATACAATCATCCAATCAAACAAACATGGCTAGGGTTCCTCAAAACCTAAGTGAAGGGAAGTTACTCCATAGAGAAGAGAGAGACTGCAGTAAGAATCTTCAGATGATCAGTCTTCAAGTCCGGGCTTGATTCCCGAGCTCCAATGGCGAAGAAATCCTCCAAAATAGCTCCAAGAATGTTCCCAAGTCGCTCTCTCTCTCTAGGGTTCGTCCCTTGGGTGTTTGGGATCCAAAACCCAGCTCTCCCTCTCCTTTGGCTCGAATTTGGGTTAAAAAACCCGATTCTGGGCAAAACACGGTCGCGGGCACGGCCGTGCTTTGCTTTTGACCGCCCGTGTTTTGCCCCGTGTTAAAAACACGCTCGGTCGCGTCGGTCAAAACACGGTCATGCCTAAATATGGGCACGGCCGTGTTTTGATTTAGGCGCGCCCGTGTTTTTACTGCCGAACCTGTTCCCCTATATTCAATGCTTCGTTTCTCCCTCGTCCGGACTCCGAATCAGTCGCCGTTTGATCCCAGACGCTCGTAGTCTCGTCCTCTTTCTTTGCATGACAAGCTTGCATGATTCTTTGTCCATAAAGTGAGGTAGAAATCCATTCTTCTTCAGGTCATGCCCGAGTTTCTGCTCCCGAATCGCCAATTGATCTCTGATTGACTTGAAACTTGCGCCTATGCTTCACTTTATGTGCTAGGACCTGAAATGTGACAAAGGAACACAACCTAGCGTAAAATAGGCCAAAGACACGATAATTCAAGCTCAAACAATCAAGAAACAAAGGGGAAAACATGTGCAAATACCGAGTCATCAAATCCCCCCACACTTAACTGTTTGCTTGTCCCCAAGCAAACCTAACTCAAACCAATGCAACTCTCCAGAGCTCTATAGCAACATACAACCCCGATCGTCGGTAGAGGACTTTCTAGATCATAAAGCAGCTTACGAGGTCAACTGGTCTTCTAAGACGTCCCCTATCTTTCTCAATGCGAGTACTAGACTCAAGTCAGGATCATGAGAAAAAGTAGAAGTAAGACAGTCAGTTCATGGATAAAGGGACTCACACCATTCACAACCAAGGACTCGTTGTACCGGGGTGCTCTTTCACTTCATTTCACCGTTGGAACCCCTTTTTCACTTTCATTTTACTTACTTTTTTTTCCTTTTTATTCACTTGGCGGGGGTTCCAACTGCAGTCTTTTGCACGGTCGACCCTTATTAGTCGAGCAAGAGCAATTTCTGTACATCTGGCGCTCGCCAGAGTACTTCTTTTAACTCCTTTTCCTCAACTCGTGTGGAGGGTCAATGAAATTAAGGGGGGTCGGAAGCTCTATCCGTGCCCTTAAAAACACATCCTCGAGTAGGCAAACCGTTCAACGGGTGAAAATTTTACTTGTACTAGAGACAGCTTAGCTTCACCTTGTAGGAGTACCCCACTAAGGATCACTAAAATCTCTTCCAAAACCCGATTTTGTGCAATGAACGATGCCACACACGTTGGGCTTACCCCATGTTTAAGATTTCAATGATTTCGACATGGAGGACCAACTGCTTTCCATTTTCTATATGAGCACCCTGTTCGATACACGAGTCCAAAACACAATCCACATAGAGTCACCATCACCACATGAATTCAACGGTCCTAGCTCCACTAATTCACAAAATCAACTGGCACAGCAAAGAGCTAGATAGGAAAAATCTTATACTTCAACATCCTCCATAGTGCTACACTACCTCCCTAGGTTGCACATTACTATAGAGACTGTCAATTCAAAGCATACTGAGCAGGCAATTTGCAAGGAAACACGTACTTGGAGCCCTCAAATCGAAATTTGGACAGTGGACTAGGCTCCAAGCACACAAACAGCCAAACATTGACACGCATACATAATCGAACATCCCCCCACACTTAAGCACGACATTGTCCTCAATGGAGGAAAGATAAGGAGGGTAGAACGAAGTTACCAGATCAAGGGTGAATGATGGTGGATGGGACAGGCGTGTATTCTAGGAGGAGAGAGTAATCAGAACACAAACACCACACAAAATCTCACAAAGGTTGAGTTATTGACTCTAAAATCAAAGAACAAAACTGACTCAACCGAAGAGTAATAGGGAAAGAAATGCAAACCGAATGGTTGGGTTGCCTCCCAACAAGCGCTTCTTTCACGTCGTGAGCCGGACGATGGCTCCTAAGTTTCGGTCCACCCCAAAACCTCCTTGAAGTTGAGGTTCTCGTCAATGAGGTGGAGTCTCAAGTCACGAGCATGTGGTATGACAGGTGATGGAAGCTCGTGCACTTGATGCAGATGAAGTCTCCACCCTCGAGACCTCTTCTTCTCTTCTCTCGTCTCATTGCCCCAAACCAGATATGACAGCATCGATTGGCCACCATCGCGTCCACCAAGAGGGACCGATGTCGATGTGGCCTTGGTCTGGCAAAGAGACACTGCAAATGGGTCCTTGCCAAGCAGTTCCTCGAAGTTTGGTGGAGATATCACATGTAACTCATGGCCGGTGCAAGCCTCTTCCACCTCAACTTCGTCCTCGGCCTGGACGCCAATTGCTCCTTCAACCTCCCTTCCTTCTTCATGTGGTATCACCCCTGGGAAATGATCAAGAACTCCTCCTGCTTCGCTTTCGTCATCCTCCACAACCTCTTTCTGCACCCTTTCTTGCTCTTCTTCTTCTAGCACGGATTGGAGAGCAAGTTGCCAAGCAATTTCTTTCATGAGATCTTCTTGCATCTCCTCACTCATGCCCACCTCTTCAAAGCGCAGTGTGGGATGTGGGAAAGGGTGGTCGGCTACGACAGGACATTCCTGATCATGATCATCACGGGAGCTCTCCGTGACAACTTCTGTGTGCTCCCTAATGTCCGTGTAGCCTTCTTCTTCCTCCTCCTCTTCTTGTATGGTAGCAGAAGGGTGATCTTGAGCAAGTTGTGCACAAACTTGCTCAACCCACTCTGTTTGCTTCGCTGAGCGTTGAACAGCCTCCTCCATATCACGGAGATATGAGGGATCGGAAGAGGGAAGGGCCTGGATTTGAGGATCCATCCTGGAGCATGTTCTCTCACAGGCTCGAGTAAACTGCTCCAAGAGAAGCCTCAGTTCATAGTTTGGATCTGGCTGTGGAGTGTAGCATGGCTCTGCAGAATGGCCCGTGAAGGCCGCCATGGGTAACTCCAGCGCTGATGGCCCTTCTGGTTGTGGGAGGAAGTCTTCTTGGTAATGAGATTGTCCTTGATATGCCCAGGGGTCAGATTGTTCTCCATAGAAAGGGGGTTGGTACTGGAACCCGAATCCATAGTCTTCTCCTCCTTGATTGCTCCAGGGGGTCTCGGGGTAATACCACTCGGATGGTGGTGAATACCCCCAATGATTGGTGAAGCCATGAGGATCCATGATTCAGATCTGCACCAACAAAAACAAAAACACCCAAGTGAAAAGCAAGGGTGGAAAAGAAAAGAAAACCGCTAAAGTAACAAACTTCTGCCTTTCCTAATACTCTAGAAAGTCCCCGGCAACGGCGCCAAAAACTTGACTCGCTATGGCACAACTCCTAACAATGGCCAAGTGTAACCAATGAAAGGGACTGCAGTATAGTGGCTCAAGTAATAAATATCGAATCCACGGGTCTCTAGAGTTACTATTACTCAGCTTCAGTTCATTATCTAGCAAAACAGATTAAGATGAAAGAACTAAAATTACTCTAGCAAACTACAGTTAAAGTTAATCTAATTACAGGTTGGGAACTCACTTAGGTATGATTCCCCCTAGCCACTAGCCAGATTAATGATTGATGATCTCTTACCTGCTTCACTTTCATTCACAATGCGGAGAATCCTTAACTAGACCTTGAGTCTCGATTAAAGGAACAAGGCCCTCTTGAGTCAATTGCCTAGAGGGACGTATCCTTCTCTAGAACAACTGATCAAGGCGTTCTGAACTAGATTCCCTCTATCGAATGAGGTTCTCAATCGATACAAAGCAGTGAATCAACCCTCGACTAAAGCAATCGATCCACTACTATCAATCTATGGTGCTCTATTGACCTAATCAGGTATTCGCTCTCATAGGATCAAAGCAGAATCAATAATCCCGACTAAAGCAGAATTGAATCATGAAAACATGCATAGATTGAATATGAACTCAAGATTATCAAGTCAGAGTACTCATACAATCATCCAATCAAACAAACATGGCTAGGGTTCCTCAAAACCTAAGTGAAGGGAAGTTACTCCATAGAGAAGAGAGAGACTGCAGTAAGAATCTTCAGATGATCAGTCTTCAAGTCCGGGCTTGATTCCCGAGCTCCAATGGCGAAGAAATCCTCCAAAATAGCTCCAAGAATGTTCCCAAGTCGCTCTCTCTCTCTAGGGTTCGTCCCTTGGGTGTTTGGGATCCAAAACCCAGCTCTCCCTCTCCTTTGGCTCGAATTTGGGTTAAAAAACCCGATTCTGGGCAAAACACGGTCGCGGGCACGGCCGTGCTTTGCTTTTGACCGCCCGTGTTTTGCCCCGTGTTAAAAACACGCTCGGTCGCGTCGGTCAAAACACGGTCATGCCTAAATATGGGCACGACCGTGTTTTGATTTAGGCGCGCCCGTGTTTTTACTGCCGAACCTGTTCCCCTATATTCAATGCTTCGTTTCTCCCTCGTCCGGACTCCGAATCAGTCGCCGTTTGATCCCAGACGCTCGTAGTCTCGTCCTCTTTCTTTGCATGACAAGCTTGCATGATTCTTTGTCCATAAAGTGAGGTAGAAATCCATTCTTCTTCAGGTCATGCCCGAGTTTCTGCTCCCGAATCGCCAATTGATCTCTGATTGACTTGAAACTTGCGCCTATGCTTCACTTTATGTGCTAGGACCTGAAATGTGACAAAGGAACACAACCTAGCGTAAAATAGGCCAAAGACACGATAATTCAAGCTCAAACAATCAAGAAACAAAGGGGAAAACATGTGCAAATACCGAGTCATCATCAACATATATAAACGTTAACTAAAATTCTCCTTTACCGTTTCCCTTTTTTCAATGCAGGTGATGGGAAGCGATGACGAAGCAGTCGGATCTACCCAACGCCATTCCCTAACAGTCTTGGTTGTGCAGTTTATCACAGCAATGATAGTCCTAGATACTTGGCAGTATTTCATGCATAGGTTCATGCACCAAAATAAGTTTCTTTACAAACACATCCATTCCCTGCACCACCGGCTCGTAGTCCCATATGCATATGGAGCTTTGTATAATCACCCGGTGGAGGGTCTTCTTCTCGACACCATTGGCGGGGCACTTTCCTTCTTGCTCTCCGGTATGTCCCCTCGAGCATCCATTTTCTTCTTCTCTTTTGCCACGATCAAAACGGTGGACGATCACTGTGGGTTGTGGTTACCTGGGAACCCCTTCCACTTGTTTTTCAAGAACAACACTGCTTATCATGACATCCACCATCAATTGTACGGAAGCAAGTACAACTTCTCTCAACCGTTCTTTGTGATATGGGACAGAATTCTAGGAACCTATATGCCGTATTCTCTTGAAAAGAGACGGGGTGGGGGATTTGAAGCACGACCAGCTAAAGAGTTTAATGGTGATTGAACTTAAATTCTTAGGGGGGAAGAAGCATTGTTGTTACTAGGATGTACCACCACTAATTTTTTGTTTTTCTTTTTTATTCAATCTCAATGATATTTGTTGTGCTTTATTTGTTCCGGGTATTCATGAGTCTAAAAATATCTCTAGAGAGTGAAATAGTCGTATATCCATGTAAAGTTCAATGCATGTTTTTTATGGCTTCAACATGATTGTAGTTATGGTTGAGTTAATTATGCAGCTTTCTGTTAAATCTGTTGCTGACTGGAAACTGACTTCTGCTGCATTTTCAGTGGATAGTGACTTGTATTTTATTTAGTTGGCTCAATTTTTTTTATATGATTGCAACTGTATTATGGACTCCACGTTTTCAAATAAAGCCATATAGGGCAACGATAAAAGGTTGCTATAAGTTGAACAGATGGTGAACAAAACGAAACATCTTAAAAAGTCTGTGATTAAAAATGTAGTTGAACCATGAATCCAACCATTAACCAATATGTCAAAAGCAAGCCAAAGTTTCTCAGTTTCACTGATGGGAGTGAATCTTGTCCTAATAGAAAGAACTGTAAATTACTATGCACTCTCTCCCCCTCAAATAATCATATTCTTCATTTGGAAGAGTGCAAAAAGTGCAACATGATCTGTTGTTATGGTTGAGTTAATTATGCAGATTCCTGTTGAATCTGTTGCTGATTGGAAACTGACTTTTGCTGCATTTTCAGTGGATAGTGATCTATATTTTATTTCGCTGGCTTAGATTTTTATATGATTGCAACTGTATTATGGACTCCATATTTTCAGATAAATCCATATAGGGCAACGATAAAAGGTTGCTATAAGTTGAACCGATGGTGAACAAAATGAAACATCTTAAAAAGTTTGTGATTACAAATGTAGTTGAACCATTAATCCAACCATTAATCAATATGTCAAAGGCACGCCAAATTTTATCAGTTTCGCCGATGGGAGTGAATCTTGTCCTAATAGAAAGGACTGTAAATTACTATGCACTATCTCCCCCTCAAATAATCATATTCTTCATTTGGAAGAGTGAAAAAGTGCAATTATAACTAGAGCTAGATTGTTTGCTCGTAAGTCTGCACCAATTGTGAAATGCCCCATTTGCGATATTAGGAAGAGTCTATCATGCATCATTTTTTCATAGCCAGCATGTGGGTAATACTTGTTCGAACTTTGACATGCCTTTTGGGCCTTTTGCCATTTGAAATCATCTTTTCCGATTGGTTTTTCATTCTCAAAGAACATATGTTAAATGATCTTCTTAGGTGGATCTTTTGTTGCTTATGGAACATACATATAGCTTGTAATGGTTTCATCTTTGAAAACTTGTCTCTTTCCCCACCCACCATAGTAAGATTACATTATTGTGATTCCGTAAGTTTGGGAGAAGCTAAGAATTGCTTTCGAATGTCAACATCTTTAAGATTAGATATGGTGTCTTATACGCATAGGGGATTTTGTTCACACCCCTCACCATTGTCTAGCTTTTTCCTAAAGATTGTGCATTGTGTGGTTTCTTTGATCCTGTATCACAGGTGCTGGCTTATGGGATTACTATTGCTAACGCCCATGGTAAGGTGTATGATGGCAAGGCTGATAATTTCTATTATTCCTATCCGATTCAGGAGGAAGCATAAGCTATTCTTAATGTAGTATTGCGACCGGAACAACAACCCTGTCTAACATGGATCAAGTCTGACTGTCATATACTGATTGTCACTCTGAAGCAAACTCTCGGCATTTTGCCCATTGGAATGTCGGACTTCTTTAGCACGTATCATATCCATTCTCCACTTTCGTCCGTTGAGTTTTTGGTTTTCAATCTTTAGCATATTGGATAGCTCGTAATGTTAATCTAGATATTTTACTGGGGGAATGGGTTGTTATTGATGATCTTTTATCTCTTAAGAATCATTGTTTTCCACTTGTTATTGATGATCTTTTATCTCTTAAGAATCATTGTTTTCCACTTATCGAGATATGGAGGGTACCATCTTTTTGTAAAATAAAACATTATGTCAAACTTGATAATCCTTATGGTTAGCCAGCTATCAAAAGACCAATTGAGCTTAATGACCCATACACTAAAAGATACATGGCTACGCTTCTTCTAAAGGTGTCGAGTGCTTATCGATGAGACAATTCTATCCAATAGGACTATGCAAGATATTTTATAAGAACATTTTCATAATATTAGCTAACCGTCTTGGACGAATCCTACCCCGGTAGTTGAATAACAATCAAAATGGTTTTGTAAAGGGTCGATCGACCACTCATAATATACTCATTGGTCAAGAGGTTATGCAATTTTTGAAAATTAAAGTGCAAGTAGAGATAAATGGATGGGATTGAAACTTGAATTGGAAAAAGCTTGGAGTGACCTTTTTTCATTCTGGTTATGGAGGTGAAGGGGGGTTTTGTCTTCAGTCCGCCAAACGGGTGGCATTGTTATCTTTTGCGACTTGAGTTGCATGTCAACATCCTAGCTGCTCGTTGACATCTCTAATAAAGGTGAGGTGGCTCCCGAAGACACCTTATACTCAAATTGCACAAAATACTACTAAAATGGCGTATCAAAATGATAAAGACGATTATGGGGATACACTGCCAGTCTTGGCTAAACATCGAGCACGTATAAGTACTTATGGTACTAAAATGCGGGGTTCGTACTATTTTAGCTGCAAAAATGGGGGCTCAAAATGCCAATTTTTTTTAATTATTATAAGTTATGCCCGCAAAGAAAAAAGCATAGCAAATTTTCTTTTCCTCGATCTTCTCCCTGCTATAGTAAAATTGATGTGGCTATTCTTGGATTTATAGATTCAACTAGGGAGGAGTTACGGTGCTAATTGTACAAGAGTTAGCACCGTCCTAATAAAGGATTAGTAGTGATTTAGCTTAGATGTTGTATTGATTTTATAATAATCCGTAGTGATTTCATTGTTTTTAGTAGCGTTTTTTGCTAGTTATCACTGTGCTAACTCCTATAAGGGTTAGCACCTAATCCCATCCCATTCAACTACCTCCCTTATCTTTCTTCCTAATCGAACCCTATTATGGCGGGAAAAATCCCTAAATACAGCTAATAATAAAACAAATTCTTATACTATAACACTTATAAAAAAAAATTCCTAAAATACCTAACTTTGAAGCCGATCGATGCTCATACACTCGAACCACACACTGGATCGAGGCCCATACACTCGAACAACTGGATCGACGGTGACAAACTCGAACCAACTCAAGTATTCTGCAAAAAAATTTTGGAGGAGCTTTGCTGCTTAGATGCCTCATCCTCTTCTCGCCTATGATTATTACTATCCCTCGAGACGGCATCGTCGCTTTCTTTACCCGCAGAGGACAGATCTTCAATCGCGCGGCTTGGGATGCGGCGGAGGCAGAGACGGTTTGGGGTGGACGACGCTGCGGTTGCTGTTGTGGTCTTGATGGCGGTGGAGGAGTTTTTCGTCGGCGGAAGAGGTTGGTGCCGGGCAAGGTGGATCGGTAAGGTTGCTATTGTTGGTGGTGTTGATCGAATTCAGAGAGGCAGAAATCGTGAGAGAAGGCAATCCGGTGACTGATTCCCGAACTAGGTACGAAGCAGAGATCAATCGCCATCATTGATGATTCATGAGGTGGTTCGAGGTTGTAACCCTCGATCCATGTTGTTCGAGGGTTTATGGCTCGATCTACTCTGTGCTTTGAGTGGTTCAAGTGTCTGTGTCTCGATCCGCTTCAAACATTGGTATTTCGGGAAATTATTTTATAACTGCAGTAGTTTAGGGATTTGCTTTATTATTAGCTGTATTTAGGGATATTCTCCGTATTATGGTAATTATGTATTACATTCTGCTAGCTATCTGGTCCATTGTTTGGCAAAAAAAGAAAAAGAACGTGTACATCAAGAAGAATATATGTGAAGGGTAGCTTTTGATAATTGAGGTTGCTTTTGAGGTTTGATTTGTTATTGATGATGTGGGTCTAAAGTAGTAAAATGGGCCGCGCTACGCAGCGGCGTGGGTGGAGTTTTCCTTGCATCTTTTGCTAACCCGTGAAGCTAACATGTCCAATTAGGTAGATGTGATGTTTATTAAGACTACATGGTATACAGATATAGAGCAAGAAGTTGCAAGAGGAGGTGAAATATAAGCTCAACTGGGGAAGCTAATACTTAATTGGCAGGGACATCTTTATAACTAACTGTTTAAAACTTGATTTCAGAACACTACTCCATCGCCATTTGTAGGTAACATAACAACCTTCTTTTGTGAAGACAATTTAGGGGTAGTTTGAAAAACATGATTTAATGAGTGGATTTACTGAATTTATAGTTTTTATAGAACATTATATAATTTTTTGTTGTTTTTTGTAATGTGGATATTAACATTAGATTTCAAATATCTAAAATCTATTGATATCAGATATCTTATCATCTGAGATATTTTATGTCTTGATTTGTGAGATTTTTTCTCGTACTTTATCCCTTCTTTTTTTTTGTTTATCAACAAAATTTTAAATATTTCTCGAACCACTCTAATTTTTTTATATTACGAATCATGGTTGTCATGCCAGTGGCATGTTGGCCGGTTCAACCTGATTCAATCGGTGCCGGTCATGAAATCGGTATGATCGATTTACAAACTCTAAGTAAATTTGCATCGTTTTAGTAAATTTGATTAATAAAAAATAATTTAGTATATGTTTTACTGATATAAGAGTTAAAAGTTTATGTAATTTCAAAAATTTGTTGGATTCGTGTATATATGTTTTGATATTGACGTTAAATATATTTAAATATGAGTATTTATTATTTTGTTTTGAATATCGCATTAGATAAAGCCGACATGAACTGACACAAACTGGTTGTACCACTGGTCATACCATTCCACTTGCTAAACCGGCGCAATAGTATAAACCGGTTTGACAACCTTGTTACGGCTAAACATGTTATTTGATATAAAATTAGAATTTTTATTTTCATTGAATGTTAACAATCACGGTTATCAAACAATAAAAATTTTAAAATTTAATTCCAATAATTCGAAGAGTTAAAATCTCTAAATTATTAACAATTTATAAATTTAGAGTCATATTCTTCAAACAACCCTTAACTACTTTTAAAAACTACAATGCATATTTATCACTTCCTGAGAAGTGTTGGCTTCTGAAACGTCTTTATCACTTAGGGATGTTACATTTCCTCCACCCTTACGAAAATTTCGTCCCCGAAATTTGCTTGAATCTCATTCCTCTGTCAACACCATTCTTGTAATTCCTTGCCTCAAAAATTTACTCTC